GTGAGTACAGTGAAGAAATTGATTTTAACTTACTTTATTGCTGTTATTAATGAAAACTCTCTTTAATTTGAACACATTTTAATAAATTATCCTAGAATCTTGAAAGTATGATCTCATTTTCTATAATAACTATCTTCCTGCCTCTTGGTTGTATCACTTTTATTTCTACAGTGTAAGTAGATTCTTTTACAACTAGATGAAATCATAAAAATAAATAATGTTGAGTTTTGAACAACCCCTCCACCCCCACCCCCATCAAAGGAGGGATTTACGGCTTGAGAAGCTGGAAGCAGGTCGTGAGCTAAGGATCTGTGGAAGTTATTTAGAAGTGGAGCAATGATAACCAAGCTTAGGATAATGTCAGAGAGAAAGAAAACATATGAGTATCAGATGCTATGGATCAGGAAGGGCAAAAACAGAAACAAAAATGACTTAGGTTTTCAATGTGAGAGAAATGCAAGAGAGAACAAGGCAGGAGGAGAAAGAAGGAGTATGCTATTTGTCTGGGACCAGGCAAGTGACATTTTACAGAAACATTGATGCTTATTATAATACAGTCCTTTGAAATGAAGTGAAATATTTGAAATGAATTAGGGTTATCACAAACAGTTCCAAGAATAAAGGTGAAGAGAAATTAGCAAATGCAGTAATCTTCTACTCATCATGTAATATATGGACGCTACTCCTAAAGTTCCTTATCATCTTTATTAGCAGCCGTCTTGCAGAGAATGGTGCCTGCCCCTCCCTGTTTGCTAGCAGCAGCCTTGAGACAGAGGCATGAGGAGCCTGGTAGCTTGCCCTGCCTCACCTGGAGTCCACGTTTCCTTTCACATTTTCTCCAGTTACAATGTCCTGGTTCTGGTTCTCAGTATGCTGCATGCTAACTCATATGGTGAATCTGCACTGTGACTACCTCTGGGAGCAATGCTGAGGAACCCTGCTGATGACATCCCCTTGTCAACCCCATCTCCAGGACATCTCCATATTCCTAGAGCCTCAGTGGGACTGACCCGTTGACTGGCACCTGGAGCCTGAGCTCTCTTGGATACTTCTACAAAGCCCTGGACATTGACCCAAATCCCTGCAGTCACAGCTAAATCTATAAAAAAAATAAACCATGGTATCTGTAGAACTGGGATATTAACATCACGTTATTAGAGCAATTCCCATCATGGAAGGGGCACACGTGTATGGGAAAAGCAAATGTCTGAAGAGATCGAAAAACATCACTATTACTTCCAGGAATCTAAATAGTTTAGTGTTCACCACTCTAGGTATTTGAATGTAATGGGAGAACAGTGGGATATACACCTGGTAAATACCATTCTGAATTTTCCTAGGAGTCAAGTGGATCTGCGAAGTCCAGGTAAGGAGTTGGAATATGAATCTTGCTTCAGGTTTATAAACAGGATGAACCTGGATTATTGTGGACTAAGTACAGTGCTAGACATAGTACATAAATTTAGCATGAATGATTTTTTTCCAAGTAAAAAATTGCTAACCATAGCAAAAGTATATTTGTGATTTCTACTATTTTAAACCTCTCTTATATAGGAACTTCTAATGTGTATTTCAGTATAGGTGAGAGTTATGAGTTAGATAGTTTAGTTTAGGTATTACAAGACACAGACATTAGCAGAAAATGAAAAATTATAATTTTTTATAAATGAGTTTTGAGTCAGAGTGAGTCAGGCTGATGTATGCCAAGCAATAGCCCCAATACTGTTATTTACTCAAAAACACATAAAAATGTGAAGGGAAGAAGGAATGTGTAAAGTTAACAATGCTAAGACCAAAGAGTTTTAGCATGCAAAAAATAACATCCCTGAGATTCTGTTCCCATTCGTTCCCATGCAGAAATAATCTGCACTTCCAATGGACCGTGCGGGTCTCTGTCATGCTGGTGGTAGGTTTCCCCCATTTCTAACAGTAAAGATTCCGGCACCTGGCTCAATATGCTGCACTCTGCACTCAGAAGATGATGATCATCAAACCTGGCAGGCTGCAAGTCTCAGGCTCATGCTATCCGTAGCAGCAGATGGCTTTACTTTCAGAATCTAAAGGTTTTGCCCCAATATAGTAAATGTATCTCTAGTCTTAAGATAAAACAGAAACCAGATCAATCTTTCACCAGAGCAAAATTAAAACAAGTTTGAGGAACTGTATTTGACAGAAATTAATCACTGATAATTTCTTAGTCTAAGTTACTGTTCTTTTTTATTAAGAATTAATATTTTTTGGCTATATATGCTACAATAGTAAAATTATGAAAATTTTCTTTCTTTCTTCCTTCCATCCTTCCTTTTTTCTTTCCTCCTTCCTTTCTTCCTTTCTTCCTTATCTTCTTTTCTTTTCTTTGTGCTGGGGACAAGTCCTAGGGTCTCACACATGTTAGGCATTCATAGCTACTTAAGATTCTATACACTGGTGTATTTAATTATTCCAAAAAATCATTGACATTATATAAGCAAACAAAGAACAATTAGATGTAATTCATCTGTTAGGAAACACTGGAGAAAACAAGTTATTTTTAATTATGAAGAATCTTATTATTGTATTCAGAAAAATAAATTATTAAAACAAATAATGGCAATGTGTCTTCAATAAACAATTATTCAGTATTATTTTGTAAAGCACCATTTGATTGGTATATATGAGTGGGGAATCTCTAGTATCAAGTATAAGAATTTTATTAACATAAATGTTTATAGAATGTGGAGTGCTTTTGAGACACAGGAAGATGTCCTTTTCAATACTCAAGAGAATTCCCAGTATACACCAAGGTGAAGACACTGATCAACATCTCTACCCCTAATTTGTGCATTTGCAAAGAAGTTCTATGCTCAATGATAGTCAAAGTAGATAAACTACTAATGTTATATATTTAGGTTTGGCCATTTGGAAACATTTTATATACTTAATAAATTTTCATCATAACAAAAGGTAATGCATATTATATGTTATTGAGAAATAATAAAGCTAAGTTCCAGAAATCATAGTATTAACATTTTAATGTTTATCTTATGATCCTTTATTCTGAAGGAATAACATTTTTAAAAAATTGAAACATAAGTTTGTAAAATTTTGAATCTGCTCTTTTTACGTGATTTATATAAACATTTCCCATTGACTTAATATGTTAACAACATCATATCACTTTGGTGAAGTGCAAAAATACCTTAATATCATAAGTCATGTAACAATTTATTTTATGTCAGATATTTTACAAGTCCATATTTTTACTGTACTCCCAATACCTCTCTGAGATGATAAAAATTACATATGATAAGGCATTTAAATAATTCATATATCTGCCTGATATTAATCATCACTTATAATAATAATTACTTGTGTTATTTGATGTTATTATAAGTTAGAATCAAATTTCATCTTATAATTTTTCACGGATTTTATGCTTTAAGATTTAATGATTTTTTATCTTCTTTTTTCTGGTTTGCTTTTTAACAGTTTTCTAAATTAAATTATAATAAGGAATGAGAATATATTTTTATTTTTCTATTACTGAATATCTCATACCAAATATATACTTTTCAATGATTCATAACATCGTCATCAAAATATATAAAATATGTGTGCATGCAATAAAAATAATTACAATATGTACTAAAAATCCTTAAACATGAGCAGATTGATTTCACATGCATCTTTGAAATCTTTGAGCAACAGTGTACCTGATTGCATTCCTTTTATTTTAGACAACAAAACAAAACATTTGTTTTTTACCAACAGTTGGCCTGTTCTACTTATTAAAACTTGTACAAAGATTGTTACCAGCTGAGCTAAAACAGCAGCTGTCCACTGGAAATAATTGCAGAAATATTTTGCCCATTGGCCTAAAATCAAACATATGTCTTACTACAAAACTAAAATTTAACTTTCTTTACTGATGTGATAGTTATTGAAGATTGTTAATTACAGAGTTATGCACCTGGATTGTCAGGCTGGCAAAACATCTCAGTTTGGGAAAAGATCTGATTTTATGTTTTTAAATTTTTTTCTAATATTTAATATAAAAAGCCCATATTCTCACATAATATCTTTTGGCCTTTTTTTCTTAATTGAATATTTGTCAAAGATTGTGCACATGTATTGAAGATGAGCTAAAGAGTTCATGTTTTTGTTTCCCTTGTCTTTATTTAAAGGATTATAAGAGGTTCCAGAGCTAACCATGCTCTTCTAATACAAATTGCTCAAGTTATGTAAATTTTTAAATTATTATAAATTTTCCAAGAACACTATGCATGTGTGTAAATCCAAATGACTTGGGAGGCTGAAGTAGGAGGTTTACAAGTTCAAAGACAGCCTCAGCAACTTAGCAAGCCCCTAAGAAACTTAGCAAGACCCTGTCTCAAAATAAAAAATGTGAAAAAGGGCTGGGAATGTGGCTCAGTGGTTAAGCACCCTGGGTTCAATTCCTGTACCAAATAAATAAATAGATAGATAGATAATTAGATAAAATTACTGTATCTTTAAAAAAGGAATATAGCAATTATTCTAAAATTTTAAAAGGAATAATTGCTGTAAATTTTAAAAAGGAATAATTGCGAATATAGCAAGTCTTTATTATTTTGTTGTCTACTTCCATTTTTTTCTATAATATTTTCACGTGTACAGAAAATAGCCTTTATCTAGTTTACATAAAAGGCTTCATGTTAAGGTTGGGGATTTTTAGTGGAATAGTCAAAGAAACATACAGCACATTTGTCATTGTGATTAATTGTCAGCAGTGCTATACAAAGTACTATGGTTTTACCCAGACAACAGAATTGACAGGCATTATTACAAATGCCATTCAAGTTTCCTGAAGATTCTGCCATCTGTAAGTAAGTGCATAACTTTTCTTAGGATAAATGAAAATGGCATTACTTCCACATGGCTATACAGTTTGTCTACTGCATCCTTGCAGGAAGTCAGACATGACCTCTCAGTTGTCTGTGTGACATTTCCCTCATAGAAAATAAAAATAAAGAAAACATTACCTTCTGTATTGTAATGATGCCTTCCTGTGTATCTTTGTCAACAGATATCTTGAAAATCCCCAGTCCATCACCATCCACAATTTTGTACTCCATTTCTGCATTAGCGCCTATGTCTGCATCAGCAGCTTTGATTCTGGCCACAACTGAGGCTACAGGCAATGATTCTGGGACATTGTATTGATAAGATCCTGTGAAAGTCAAAACAAGAAATGAATAAAACCTAACACAAAGCTGACCAAAATAATAATAACACCTATTTTTTTGCATAAACTTTACTTAATTTGTTTTTGCTTTTCAATATATATGTTAAGACAATATGAAATAAATGAGTTTTCATATAGCCTCAAAAACTTATAGTCATGAGTCGATCAAGACAACCATGTGAGAACAGACACAGATGGTCTAAGGAAAGGCAGGAGAAATATGTTATTGTTAATAAAAATAAATTTCAAATAATTAGAACATGATTCATGCATAACTGTTAAATTTAAGTAATTGAGTATAATTATCATAACTAATATAAACATTAATAAATAAAAAATAAATTTTATTTATTTAGCTTGGGTTCCTAATAGGCAAATACAAGCCTCATTATTTCTACCACCTGAAGACTGGAATTTATTTAATATCTTTTCCTGAATTTTTTTTTTTTAGAAAACTGGACAAGAAAATGTGTAAAAGAGTGATCATTTTCTTGTAGCTTATAAATTTACTGAGGATAAGAATTATTTTTGTGGGTTTTATGTGCAACTGATTTGGGGATTAATAGTACAAGAGAAAAAGCAATATTATTCATACAGTTATAAGAAGTTTAAAAAAGAAAGAATAACTTAAAAAGTTTTTAGTGTTTAAAATAAATTCTTTTAAACATCCTACAACTAACTAACTAACTAAATAAATAATAGAGGAAGAAAGGAAACTGCTCAGAACCAGATGTTTCTTCACCATTTCTCTGTAGGCATTGACTTCTCTTGCCTCCGGCCCCTTGTTCCATCCCCTTGGGGTTGTTACATCGTTGTGCATTTGTACTTAAATGAAGAGAAGAGAACAAATTCCCTTGGAGAGGACTTTAGGAAGGAAGACGTGTCCACATGAAGAGACTACATTCTGTTTCTGGCTGAGACTTGTTTGGAGTTTTCAAAAGATAGTGACAGTTATCATTTTTTTTTAAGTAACTGCAATATATGCTTATGATTTTTGAGAGTGACTTATTTCACACATCTAGCAATGTCCTTAGTAAAATTCAAGAATTTCAAGGTTAGAATAGTAATTAAACTGTAGAAAAGATCCCAGCAAAAATGAAAATCTCACTGGCATATCCTGGGCTTTCCTGACTTTAATAAGTAGCAGAGCATCTAATAAGCTGGAGACCCTGTGCTTGCTCTTGGCAAAGCATGACAACTAATGCTACTAAAAGTCCAAGTATCAATGCTCCTCATCCCAGGTTTAAAGGAAAGAATAGCAGTTAATTTTATTTTGAGCCCAAGATAACCACATTATCACTTTCATTTTCTAAAACTCCTTCCTTCTCCCCCATGATAAGCTGTCAAGACCACAATTAAAGACAGGCTCATTTAAAAAATATATAAATTTGGGATCACTTTTTAAATTACCAGGAGGTATTACAATGTTTCTTGCACAATAATATAAACATTAAAATATGAACACTGAAATTGTAATAGCTAAAGAAGTGTTATTTAAAGAAAAAAAAAAAACTGGTTTTCATAGTTGCTCCTAAAGCTTCCTTGTTTAATATTATTTGCTTCCACTGTTGGTTGGGAATCTACTTCTGCATTTTAGAGATACTGCATAGATGTTGTAGCCTGTATATCTTTTTTTTCTTTATCATTCTAAAGAAATCCCACATGTGAACAATAAAAATAGGAAACTAAAAAGAGTGAAGATGAAATGCTTTTCACATACACAACACTTCTACCTGGAGAATATTCTCCCCCCCCTCCCCATTTTCTACTGGATAAGTCAAAAGCTGCATTGGTCAAAGAAGCTGAATTGAGAGCATGTGGTTCTATTCCTTTTGACTGATTTATTCTGAAACACTGAATGTTTATGGTAGAACCGCCAAAGGAGTGTTTAGTATGCATGAACTGCTTAAAACTAAGAAATGAAAAAATAAAATTTCTTATTGCCTTTTCTTGATCTTAGAAATAAAGCAGTATTTTTATGTGTAGAATTGATGAAGTATATTACCAATTGGCAACAATCCTATAACTTACAAAATGTTTCAAAAGAATAGTTTTAGAAAAAAAGACTAAGACACAACATTTGTCTGGTATTTCAAATGTGAGTGAAAGAAAACTTGTATTTATGATAGCATTGATACAAAGACATGATTTGTCTTCTGGACTCTTACTGGGTTAAAATTATTTTCCATCTAACTGGGTTAAAATTGTGTTCCTGGTAAAATAAAATGTGAGGAGAATGCAATAAAGAGATAGAGAAAAAGACAGAGTGCGAGAGAGCGAGAGCAACTTACAAGGAAATTTAGTTAAAAAACAGTGGCTTACTTCGAGGAAAGCGAGGTGGATTATCGTTCACATCAGTCAGGGTCACAGTGACTGATGTAGTTCCTGACAGTCCACCATTTTGACCAACCATATCCTTTGCCTGAATGACAAGCAAATACTGGTCTTTAGCCTCTCTATCCATGTTTGGAAGGGCAGTCTTGATGACTCCTGTAAGATTTCAAATCCCAGTAAAATGCATGATGAATTGTACCACACGTATACTAACAACGAGCAATGACACAAGGAGCTAGTCATTCTTCGGCTGTTCCTTTTCCATTCTGTTTACTTTAACCATTTTAATATACACTAAATACCAAAGAAATATTTCAAATATATACAATATAAAAAAGAAAAAATGATGCAGTGCAGTCTTTTCAATATCAGATGCAGAGAATTATCTAATTTTCATGAAAATAGTTAAGAAAATAACAATTAAAATATACAAAATGGGTCCCTATGTAGAATAATGAGAAGTTATCTATTCAAGTACATAGCAGTGAACTTATCCTCTTTCATCCCTTGTGAAAACTTAGAGTAATTTACAAAAAATTCATTATCAATTACCAAGATTCCAAGTTAAATAACGTTTTTATCTTAAGCAACCATATCTTATTTAGGTCTGAGCACTCTCAAACACACGCACACACACCAGCAACACGTTGATATTTTAAGCATTTAAGTTACACTTATTTGAGCAAGTTGAAGTTTTTGAACAGTTACTTACTCTAATACACAAGTATACTTTGGGTCTGTTGCTGCAAACACAGCAATGACTTTAGCTACCTCCTTTGAATCTTGTGACACTCTATACACTACTTACAATTAACCTTCGAAATATCACAATTAAAATGAAAACAACATAGATATATATTCTCTAAGTCTCAGGGATAAGTTTTTAGTTCATAAATATTCTTATCTGTATCCTAATAATCCTAGGAATATTTCCTGTTCCTTCTTCAATATTTCTAACTCTATGGTAAACAACTGTTGACCTCAATGTCTCCAAACACACACACAGTCTTTACCTAGAAATTCTGTAATTCTAGAACTTACATAGCTCTATTTTTACCTTTTATCTTCTTTTAATTAATTAATTAATTAATGCTGTTAATCATGTTCTTTGTGTAGACAATGTTTTCTATTAAACACTGATTATCTTCATCACTTGACCAATAAATGTACTTATCACATCTTTGTGAAAAAAAAATACTAAGATGAATTCTTTTTGAACATGTACTACTAAACATTTTAGTGTTTTGTTTTTTTTTAAATTTCTCTACATGCCCAATTTTTCCTTTCAATACTATTATGTGCCAGTGAATTGTTATTTTGAAAATTTCTTAGGATGAAGAGAAATCTATGCATCTCAACTAACTAGCAAAGCAAACACTACAGACTCAGCCTCTTGTAGTTTTGCTTGGTGGCACTATTTTTTTAAAAGAAAAAAAGCATCATTAGGATAGAAGTCTGGTAGTCCAAGTTATTTTCTTATTTTTCACACCTTTAATTTTCCCTTTATAAGAGACCCTAAAAATAACATTTTCAAAAGCTAAAATCACCTTAAAATTTTCAGATTAATTCATGTGGCAAAGGCAATTTCCAAATGCCTTGACTACTAAACATAGTTTGAACAATAATAAAATAATGGGGAAAAACAAATTTAAATAAAGGCATTTAATAATTCTATATTTCTAGTTACATGAATTTTGCTGGCTTTTACTATTAAGTGCAAGCTTTCTACATTCAGAAAACAATTATACATTAGATTTCATTTTCATTTGTAATATATTACATGAATACACACACACACACACACACAGACATACATATACACAGAGCAAATTATTATTACAATGTCTCTGAACTGGTAAAGGTGAGTTTTGACTAACTGGATGTCTATAATCTGTGAGATTGTCAAAAAAGTTAAAAATATTGTAATGTGTCATTAATAAATATTACATTAAAAATCACATAAATAATCACATAATGATATTTTCAGTAAATTTAAGCTCTTTTTAATGAGAAAAAAAACTATCCATTAGCTCTTCTGGAGAGACTGGCTCCGATTTTAGGCTTTCTGAATAATAGTTTTCTATAGATTTATCATCTGACTCAGTAATTTGGAAATTTCCACTTACTTGTGATCCAGGTTCATGCATATAAAACATAAACAGACTTACAGTGTTTGACAATTGTCTGGATTTTTTTTTCTCTTAGTCTAGGAAAATTTCTGATTGTTCTCTAATGTTCTATAAGTCATTCATGGGTTTTCAAGGCCTATTCTGTTACCATGGCATCTTCTGAAATTTTCAGTGTGTGTACAGTGAGACATAGACAAGAGCCACTTCTGCAATCTGCCACAGTTTAGAGAAACACTCATCAGAGCCCAGATGCTGCCTACACAGGCAAGGACATTAGCCTCAGATTTCTAATGAGCCTAGCAAACAAAGACTAGGGGTTCTCAAACTGTAGGGATTCAACCATTGGAATTTCCTCACTAGAGCTAACTCATCATTTTTGGATACCACCCTGAGTGAATTAATATTCCAAAGAGAATCTTAGGATTGAAAACTCAGCTTTCTCAGGGATCTAATTAACCAAGGAAGACTTCCTTATGATAACTAGAACCTAGGCTATCTGCACTCACAACTCCCAAAACCATCTGTGTTCCCCACTCTCTTCAATATAACCTTCATTCTCTATACTTATGCCAAGAGTTCTAGAACTGTAGCATTAACAGAGGCATCAGCTTCCTCATGCTTCTGTCCTGTAGGTGTTGAATGTCAAGAGGTCAGCACTAGGAATGAACTGAAGCCATTTGGTGCAGCCTTGGTCAGAAGTGAAGAGTCAACCCCTGCAAGAGCACCACCAAGACGGACAAGAGGCCATGCACAAACATCAAATTGTGAAAAACTGCCAGGAGTGGTGGTGCACGCCTGTAATTCCATTGGCTAGGGAGTCGGAGACAGGAGTACCCAGAGTTCAAAGCCAACCTCTGAGGTACTAAGCAACTCATGAGACCCTGTCTCTATATAAAATACAAAATCAGGCTGGGATATGACTCAGTGGTTGAGTGACCCTGAGTTCAATTCCCGGTACCAAAGGAAAAAAAAAAAAAGATTGTGAAAAATCCACATCACTTGCTGTTTGACTGTTTGCTTTTAACAGAAATTATTGGATATCATGTCAGTTTTCTTGGTAACTACTTTTAAGATGATAGTTTTTGTGTGACTGAGCACCTGTGAATGATAATAGATGTAACTGGTATTAAGGTGAAGGTATATCTATTAACTATAAGCAATTTCTTTCAGCATTCATTATTGAGGTTTTAAAATAGCCCAGTGATGGTTATTACAAGCATTAGCTTCTTTGGCCTTATGTTATGTCAATAAGTGTTATGTTACATGATATTAACAAACATAGCACATATCCAGGAAAGTACTGCAATACAACAATTTGCTATTAAGGACACATCTACAAATCTTAATACAAAACGATCAGTTGTTATATTATAGGTGAGAAGCACATTCTGATTGGGTAACAACAGTCATTTAAAAAAAATCCATTCAGAGTCCTATATGCCACTTTCTTTCATGAGGAAAGCACCTGTTTGAACACTTCATTAAGCATAGTAAACCCAACAACTCATTCTGTGATATGACCTATTGATAAGCACTGAATGTTTAAAAATTATAAAAGCTAAAACCTTAGAGTAGAAAGGATATCTAGAGAATGTGAAGGACAAATATTCTTGTTTGGTAGATCTTTTACACTTCATTTGCATTGGAAAAATAAATATACCTACATATATATATATATATATATATATATGTGTGTGTGTGTGTGTGTGTGTATGTTATCTATATATAGATATATAAATACATGTATGCTCATAATAATACCTTCAGAATAACTTGTTACATATATGTAGATTTACAAAAATGAATATGGACTGGGGTCAAGCAACATTTTTTCTTACAAATGTATAAACTGAGGCATGATAAAATAGATCCTGGACAAAGCAATGTCAACTTTTGAAAAAAAAATAAACATTCAAGAATCTTGAAAATTAATTTTCACAGGAACTTAGAAAGTAGAATGAATCTAGATGTTTAAGATCTGCTTTCTGTTTTTAAAAATACTCCTTCGATGAAAAATTGTAAATAGTAGAGCACTAATTATAAATGAATTTACTAAATTAGGCAGTAAAATAAGTATGCTACTTCTATGACTGATAGTTATCCCTAGACTTCATCAAATATGAAGTGTAATACACAACCCCAGCTATGATATAGTATGGTTTGTACAATACAAACTTTCAGTGCATAATATTCAGAAATATTTAAATTAGATATTAACTAATCATATGTTTTAAAAAACACTAATAAGCCCCTAGGACAGTTTAATCTTTGCCAGAAGAACAAATATAAATGTGAAAAGTACATTTATTTGCAAATATTTGTAAATGTGTATGTTCACCTGTGTTGATTATATATCATCTGAAACTTGATTGATGATGAATCTCTTCCTAAAAAGTTTTGATTTCTTTCTAAATTTTTGTATTACCCTTTGTATTATCTGTTTTGCACATAAGTTAGTATAGCATAGAACAAAGTCATAAAAAGACAAGAGAACCGTCAACAGAATTGCAGAACTAGAACCAAATGACGGGTCACCGAGGAGGGCTTTCTCTCACAATCATGAGGGGTAACTTCGGCAAACTTTGATACAAGCTGAGGCCCATCCATATCAAGATACCCCACAGCATGGGATGTGAGTAAATGGCATATTTGGAAAGGGGGGTGATTTTTGGTGATGATTTTATACTCACATAAAACTATGATAAAGCAAGTGATATGCAAGGGATAACTGGGGAACCACACAGTCCCCAATCACATGTTTAAGAAAGAACTTCTAAAAAATAAGTGATGTTCAACACTCCATCCTTCTTCCAGAGCTGGATTCATGACTCTAGGGCCTGATCTGTCAGTCTCACCCCAAGCTTGGTTTAAAGTTCTGCTGATGACATTTCAATCCTTAAAATTTTTAAAGCAAGGTGTCTGCTTTTCATTGTTGGCTGAAGATTATTTCACCAGTCCCGCCACATGATCAAACAGAACCACATGTGGGATCTATTGTTTCACAGGTCGCAGAATAAATGGACCTTGCAACAGTCCTGTCTCCTAATCACTTTGTGAACATCATGCAGACAGGGATAAGAATCGTGATCTTTGTAGTATGCAGTATCTTGTTTCTGGTACCATTTTATTGGCTTATAAAAGTAAATTGTCAACACTGTTAATAATTTTGCAGCTACTCAAATTCTGGTTTTGCGAAGGAAAAAAATAAAGTGAAAAATACAATTGACTCCTAGTCACAGGGCCAGTGAGCACAGCTTCAGGTGGAATAATGCACTGAGGTCTTAAGTACTTGCTACTTTCTTCTTAACAGTTAAACAAACTTATGGGAAGGTATTGCCTGGGCCTATTTTTGACAATCTTTATTTAGCATATATTCAACATTTTTCCTGTCAAAAATTAACTTTCTTTTCCAAAACCCTTAGGTTTTGAGAAGTGGAAAATAATGTTATTTCTCACATAGATAAGAAGCAGATTGACACCCCATACGGAAGGCTAACTAAAATTTGATTTACAGCTCTCCATGCCCTAAAGGACTGAAAAATTTCCATTTTTGTCATAAAAAAGATTCAACTTTTTTTCCCCCCTAAAAGTGCCTTCTGTGTAGCATGAATTAGCCGAGAGGGCAAAAATGCTCACAATATCTTTGTATTAATGACCGTAAAAAGAGAAATCCCAATGATTACCATGGTTGCTACATTAAAAATAGACTTTCTTCTTCTTCTGTAAATGGGATTTCTTTAGATTCTGAAATTAAAATTGAGTTTACTTATTTAAGGACTGATATCATGGCATATAATATTGTTCTGTTGATTAATTGGTGAGGTATTTATCTCATAGGACTACCGGAAAATTCTGTCATCTGGCAGCAGAACTAAAAATCCCAAGCCATTCATTAGTAGCAGGAAAATATTTAACCCTTGGGATTAGTACATGCTATTTTGGGGAAGGTTACATAATGAAAGAGTGTATAATTTGTGAGAAAATTGTCAGAAACTTGTCAATGTCTTTCTAGATTGGAAAAAAAGCAGATATATAAGGGAAGGGGTAGGTGTTCAAATTGAGGTTTCTAAGATCCATCATTGAGTCAAACATCAGCACACTTTCTACATTCACCGAATTCCTATCATGAATTCAGTACTTTCATTACTTTTCCTAGAATACTTGCTTAACTATAAATGTTTCTCCCCTCTTAGATTTTCCGGGCGGTTCCCAAACTATGCCATTATACTGGTATAAAATATGCATTGTAGTCTTTATAAAAGCTCCAATGAATAGGCCAGAAATAAATTTACCTCTCTGTTCATGTTGTTTCCAAAAGATGTTTAAATTATTTCCCCATGTAGAGATTTGAGAATGAATTGATATAGCTATTTTTGTAAATATGCAAGTCAGGATCAGTTCCATTAAAATATTCATTTAGGATCATAGGTACTATTAATATTTATTACCATAAATTTAGATATGTAAAGAATTCTACTCCATTGTAAAGGCAGAATTGTTTATAAGAGTGAATTCCTAGGGATGGGGCTGTAGCTCAGTGGTAGAGTGCTTGCCTAACATGCGTGAGGCACTGGGTTCCATCCTCAGCACCACATAAAAATAAACAGATAAAATAAAGTCATTCTGCCCATCCACAACTACAATTTTTTTTCTGAAAGTAGAGAATTTCCACATTTTCATGGTTAGAAAAATAATTAATGGCACACACCAACAATATGGACAGCTATCTACCCATAGAATCAGATATCCTAACACACTAAATAATAATTTCATAACTGAGATAACAACCCCTCTTGTTATAGTCTTATTTAATAAAAAAACTATTTCAGCTTAAAGCAAAACATAATAAACCAGTCACATAAATGTTCTAGTCATGCAATTTTGCACCTCATCAAAAAAGTTTCTCTAAAGCTAAAAAGAAAAATTAATTTCATTTGATTTATCAGATCAACTAATTGTTTCAACTAATTTCCCGGAGAAAAACAGCCTCTAGAATGAGAAACTGAACTTACTTACTATCTGTTCAATTGCTGGGCAGAGATCTTTCTGCTTAAGTTTTTAATTTTACTACATATAATAACCCAATGTGAATTAACCAAAGGAAACAAACAAGAATACACTTAAATTTAAATAATCAAAATTTTCTTAAAGACAGCAGATAGCAGTTGAAATACTTTTGAATATATAGCATTTGTTTTATTTTTCAGGGAATTCAGATAAATGTCACAAACTATTCTTGAAAAGGCTGTAACTCCTTTATGAATAATATTCTACTTTTTAAATCAAAGTCAATATATTTAGAAAAACATAATATAGTGTCTATAATCAACTCTATTGAATAAAAATAGCTTATATTAATTCTAAGCCATGATATAAATGATAACCAAAAATACTGCTAAGTTTCACTTTTTACCTGTCTTGGGCTCAACGGAAAAGTACGGCTGCCCTTGCAGAATACTGTAGACCACTCGGGCACTGTTCCCATATGTAGGGTCGTCAGCATCGGTTGCTGTCACTTGTACCACTGAAGTCCCTAAGTGATAATCCAGAAACCTTCAAATTAAAAACTGTCATATGCAGCAACACAGAAAAACTCACAAAATATTGCAGATTCTACATTAAGTTTATTTGTATTTTTTTTCTTTTTTAAAAAATTTTTATTTATTTTTGACAGCAGAATGCATTACACTTCTTATTATACCTATAGAGCACAATTTCTCATATCTCTGGTTGTATACACTGTATATTAACACCAATTTGTGTCTTCATACTGGTACTTTGGATAATAATGATCCTCACATTCCACCATCATTTATAATTCCTGTCCCCTTCCCCTCCCACCTCTCTGCCCTATCTAGAGTTCGTCTATTCCTCCCATGCTCCCTGTCCCTAACCCACTATGAACCAGCCTCTTTATACCAAAGAAAACATTCAGCATTTGTTTTTTGGGGATTGGCTAACTTCACTTAGCATTATCTTCTCTAACCCCATCCACTGACCTGCAAATGCCATGATTTTATTGTCTTTTATTGCTAAGTATATTCCATTGTGTATATATACCACATTTTTTAAATCCCATTCATCTATTGAAGGGCATCTAAGTTGGCTCCACAGTTTAGCTATTGTGAATTGTGCTGCTATAAACAATGATGTGGCTGTGTCCCTGTAGTATGCTGTTTTTAAGTCTTTTGGGTATAGACCCAGGAGAGGGATTGCTGGGTCAAATGGTGTAGAGATTTATTTGTAATTTTTAATTCATCCTCTTTCAAGTCATGTGAAACATTGATTTTTTAAATTAATATAAACCTAGAGAGATAATAAATTCTAATAAAAACTTTGAAATCATGAAGGGATATGAAAATAGTCTGGCATGAAAATACCATTGAGGATGCATGTTACCATGGGATAGCAAGAACAAATGGGGCTGTAATTGTACGCATCTTATCCATTAAGGGCAGGTAGCAAGTTTCCATCCAGAACAAACTCTACTAGTTCCAATTACTGTCCAAAAGGCAGTCTGAGATGTTGAAAGATGCTGGAATCTTTGTGGATACCTTAACGATGTAAGTGGGTAGAGTCAGCAGAAACCACACTTTCATTAATTACACAAAGAATGTTTGATAGATTTAATTGGATATTATATGGCTACCTTATCTCTTTGATGATTATTTTATTTTAAATTGTTTTTACTAAGAGATTTTAAAACAAAACATTCAACTTAAAAATTACCAGAACTCTTCCAAAGAAGGAAATGCATGGTAACTTGAAAGTGGCATTACGAGTTGTTTTTCCATATTGCATGTCAAGTTTCTTCATTTTTTCATGCTGTAACTAATGTAATATGAAGAGCATTTATTCTGAACTGTTCCTTTTTTTCCACTTGGAAAGCAACTTTCAAAATTTTAGAGAGACACACACTTACTTAGTTTATATCTTTATGTATAGATTGTTATATAATCTATACATGACAGAGAAGGAAAAGTTCCTTTATGTATTCTTTAAGGGTTTTGTTGCTGATAATTTCTAAAATACATAATTTAAATGTATCATCTTCTTTAAATGTGTTTCTCACAGTTGTCTTTTAAAATGCTTTATAAAAGTCATTAATGCTCATTTTTATAAATACACTCCATTTTTTCATATTATAATTTACCTTATCTATTTTGTTTCAAATTGTGTAGAATCTATTTGGTTATGTGTATGGCAGCATTTTTAAAAATTCAACAAACAATTTTAAACAAAATAATGAAAACCTGAACTTCAGTAAACTGTGCTTAGACTAATAATACATTTATTTCTGAAATTTTAATTAATTTGATACATAATACATGATAGATTATATTTAATAAACACAGCAAACATACACATTCACAAATATTTGCAAACAAATATACTTTCCATGTTTATATAAGCTCTTCTGGAAAAGACTGAACTGTGCTAGGGGCTTATTAGTGTTTTTTTAAAAAATATATAATTAGTTAATATCTAATTAATATATTTCTGATTAAGCTCTAAAAGTTTGTATTGTACAAACCATACCACTTAGTGGCTGTTATAAATGCTTAGTGAAAATTAGAAACTGCATTAAACTATGACTTATTATACATTTATAAAACATATTTAATGTTGGTATCCATTATTCTGTGTTTGAATTTTCATATTAATCCAGTAATTTAAATTGGTTTTCAAGTGAATTCTAAAGATGTTTGAAAATAATCTTCTACAAAGGGTGGAGCTTCTTTTACTCAATCAAGTAAATAAAATAACTTGTCTCTGTGTGTAATAAGCATGCCATTTGATATTAAAATAGGCCATCATAATCAAAACCAGAAGGCAGCTTCTAGAACAGAAGTTCACATACCCGAAATGTGCACAGCTATGTTCTATAAGGAGAAGAAAATCTCAGTAAGCCACTAACACCAAAAATGCCCCCAAAGAATTAGAACTGCTAAGCTGAGTCATATCCCTCAAACTCTCAAACTTTTCTGTCTTCCTAGACATTACTAATCTGAGAAAATGTGGTTCTCTTTACTCCAAAACCCCTGGAATCCTACTGCCACTCCTGCTGCTGCTGCTGCTGTAAAGAAACAGTGGGCAGGAATCACTTTAAAGTGTGGTTTGGGCACTGAAATGCTTCTACATGTGCTAGCTATGGTGAGATTCTGCCTCTGTGGTTCAGAATTTCTTAGGACGATTCTTCTTTCTCATTCCTCTAGTAGCTGGAGCTGGGGTACCTCAAAAAATCTTCCCTTTCTGACAAGAATAGAAATTTAGAGTCACTAAATCAGGACACTCAGAGAAAACACAGAACATCTTTGCAATCTCTATCCCCACTGTATAGTTGATGTGTCCTCTGAATATGTGAGTGAATGAAATGACCTCTTTAAAGAAGGAAACAGATCACATTGGCTAAAATGTGTTACAAGCTCCTGTAACATATTAAATAAACATCCTCCTTAAATACCCAAAACAAGAGGACAGATACAACTCTACTGGCCTTTAGTCCACTTTCATTTCTTTTTTATTTGTAAGATTGTCCACACTTAAATGACACCTTGCTGAAACCAATTCCACAAGTAGCTGAATAATGGAAATTTAAACCAGAATTTATACTATTTGCTATAGAGTACATGCTGGAAGCACTTTACTTGCTATTTTTCCAGTAAGGAAGAACTTCCAAAAGGCCTTTGCCACAGCCTTCATTGTTCTTCTATGTATCTCTAGCTGAAGATCATTTTATCATTATTATATACTCACTATTCAATTTTCACTTGGAGAAACTAAGAAGAGTTAGTGGTATCACACGACGGTATATGAGGGTCCAACCACAGGCACCACACACAGGCACCACAGACAGCTGATCCAAGTGTGAGCCTGGGCAGCCCCTGAGGGAGTCACAGTCTGGTCAGTGAACCCTGTCCTATCACCATACAAGTGTTATGGTGCTGTGTCGGCAAGGATTTTGCTTTTAACTTCTTAAGCATAATTGTAATTGCATTTTTAAAATAAATTAACATTAAATGAAAAAGGAACTATAATCCCTAAATATTTCTTAAAGACACAGAGATGGCTATGTAAAATGAAATATGTAAAATTCAAAAGTATAAACAGTACTTCCTAATATTCCATACAAATAAAATAATGTATAGAATGATGAATTTCTGGTTACTAGCATGACTCAATTTTTCCCTTCATTGCAACTGATGATTGTCCTACATACACTAATGTGCTTTTTTCTCTGCACCTAATAACAACTTAGTTTTAAAGACAAACTTCCTAACACCACACAGCAAAACAATATAGTCTTCACTTACCTACAGGAGACATTTCGGGAACTCCTGCTGTGTAAGGCCCATCCAAAAACTTGGGTTCATTATCATTGATATCCTGGATTTTGATGACAAACTCTGATTCGGGCTCCACGGGTTTGTTGGTGAGCCTGTCCAGCGCTTGAGCTCGGAGAGTGTAGTAGGCCTGCTCCTCGCGATCCAGTCTCTTGGTAGCATGAATGTCCCCAGTGTTCTCATCAATAATGAAAATGGAACTTGCCCCTTCGCCTGACAAGATGTATTTGATGGAACCATCTCCTTTATCAACATCAGAGTGAAGCTGGTGAAAAATTCATGTGAGATGAGATTAACTTACAAGAGAGTCAGCGATATGGAGATATGTAAAAATAATTCTTATGTCAGGCAGCTGTACATGAAATTTTATTGTTCTTGGAAAGATAAGCTGAACGCTTATTGTGCACAGCAGAAAGGCTATTAGAATGTGTCATCTTGCACTTGAGAGCAAGACAATTTCATTTCTTCCTGTAAACAGTCTCATTTCCAAAGGTATTTTATAGCATTCCCACAGAACTTGTTGTAGTGTTATTTTTTATTTGATCTGTCCTTGCCAGTTTTAGCCATCTTCTTTGAACACAGCAGACATTCAGTAAACATGTATAACTGGTTGATCCCTATTCCAAGCAAAGAGATTTTTCTAGAGAACATTGGTCAATTCAATTCTAATGCATCATTTAATATGCTTTTTAGAAAACCCCACATTCTTTATGGGTTCCTGTCTCCCTTCCTAACCCCACACCCACACACACCCCTTTCCATGATTAACCAACGTGGATGGATGTCCAGTTACTAAATCTGTCTCCAAATCCTGTTCTGTATTTTAGAATTTGAAGCTTAAAAAAAAATTACACTGCTCTCTAAAGTAGGAATTTTAAATCAATACGTGCATGGGACTTCAACTAAAACCTTTCTTGAAATACCAAGAACTGCATTAGATTTGCATGATTAACCCCGGCCTTGGCAGCAGGGGCAGCACCTACTGATTTGCATTTTCTATCTGAAACTGTCCCTGCTGTATGTCGGAACATTATGTTCAACAGAGGAACCTTAGGAAACTCAGAAATAATTACACATTTTCCTGAACTCCATAACCTGAGAAACACACTACTCAATCTGTCATTTCAACAATCTTTCATCTCCTAACTGCCATCATCCAGGACTTTTGTTAATATGAATGTAAAAACCCGATTTACCAAATAACAAGGCTTTTCAGTGCCCTACAGACTACATTTGCATTTTTCAAAAGATGAGGTTCTAAAAATATAAAATATGGAAAACCACTTAGGCAAGTGTGGGCACATTTTCTTCCCTGGTATCCATGCAAGACACAGATTTTGGCACCATGGATCTCTGTGACTTTCCCACTCCACAGTAACTGTTGTATTTATACTCTGCTTCAGGATACTTAAATACCCGATTTATCCCTTGGTTTCTGTGATTTTGAGTCAGAACTAAATAATAAAATAATAAGTTTCTGTCAAGAGTTATAACTTCTCAGGGTGAAGTCATCTGGTGAATTGCCGTGCAAAGTATCTGCCTGACATAGAGGGTAGGCATATTCTTGAAGTGCTGTGAATTAACTTCCTTAAGTCTTTCTCAGGATTACTATTATATATGTGTCTTTCTCCAATTTAAGAAGAAAGAAACATGAGAATTGTTATAGATTGGGTCATGAGAACTTAACTAGGTGTCAGTCTCTGTTCTTACTATTCTTTGTATAGTATAACATGATCCTTACTATTCTTTGTATAGTATAACATGGAAAAGAGAGGGACATCAAATTCTGTTATGGTTTGGATGTGAGATAGATGTCCCCCCAAAGCTCATGCATGAGACAATGTAAGAAGGTTTAGAGGAAAAATGATTGGGCTATGAGAGCCTTAACTCAATCAGTGAATTAATCCCCTGTGGGATTAACTGAGTAGTCACTGGGTAGGATGTGGCTGAAGGAGGTAGGTCCTTAAGGATGTGCCCTTGGGGTATATATTTTGTATCTGGCAAGTGGAGTCTCTCTGTGCTTTCTGATCATCATGTGAGCTCCTTCCCTTCTCTACACTCTTCTGCCATGATGTTCTGCCTCATCTTGAGCCCTGAGAAATGCAGCGAGCTGTCTATGGACTGAAAACTCTGAAACTATAAGCCCTCAAATAAGCTTTTCCTCTTCTACAATTATTCTGGCCAGGTCTTTTAGTCATAGCAGTAAAAAAGCTCATAGAACAAATACCATGTCCCTGACATGCCCTATTCCATTCCCAAAACTCTAATCAAGTCAAGAGGACAGTGAATGTGGACCCAGGATGGAATGTCCTATTAGTATTATCTAAGGGATACTAAGGAATGTGCACTGGGAATCTGGAAGCAGATATCATCTGTGAGAAGTGTTTTTTTCTAAAGTTATCCTAAAGGCAATTGCTCCTTGGAATGCTGGTCAAATAAACAAAATTAACCATGTCATCAATTCATACATACATTAGACTGTAAAGGTCCTCCCTCCGTAGTAGTGACAGGAGTCAGAGCACTACCCATGTAGCTGGTGGTTACAGGTGGCCGTAGCTGGTAGCCTGTTAGGTGTCAATAAACTCTGTGTTCCCCATGCCATCTCGGGGTACTGTCTTCGATCTCTCAGCAACATATCCCACAGCCAGCCCAAGAGCTGCTGTGGACAGCACAGCATTTCATTTAATATTCAAAACTACCCACACGATGCTACTTATAGATTTGGAAAAGCTAAGGACATTGCCTGGGCTCATCTAGCCAGCTTTCTCCCAGCACCGGGATTATGAAAATGGGCAGGCTCATACAAGGTCCAAGTCACCACTCGCTACAATGAACTTCTGTCTGAGAGGTAGACTGTTGCCCTGCGTGGCAAGGACATCAAGACTCTCTGCAAAGAGGAACTTAAGGACAGGGATCCTGCAGCCAGCTCACCTGATCACTCTCATACTGGTTTCCATCAACACACTTTTTGACTTACCAGAGGAGTCCTTTCTTGCACTAGGTAAACAACAGTAAATGCAACAACCCACAGCAGCATAAGTGAGTCCTCAGACAAGTGTGGAAGACAGACAAATTATTTTTAAGTTGATATGAACGTGTTCCACAACTCAGTCTCAACACCATTCTCCTAACACTGCCCCCATCTCGGCTCCTGCATCGCTGGTGACTCTCCAGTGGCTATTGATAATGGCAGTGTGAAACCTCAGGGGACATCCAGATGACTGTAGGAATATTAGTAATACATCTTCAATCAAAGTTTCTCTACATCTCTATATCACGTTCAGGAATCCCACTCATAGAACCAGTCTTTAGGATTCATTAAATAATTCCTGTCAAACGATTGCTGTCTTCATAGCAGGGTGATATAATGCCCCTGTGGTTTTCCAGGTATGGGACACCCCCCAGAAATTATTTTAAATATAAAGCACACCTTAATACTGTATATGAGCTTCACCCCAGACTCTCAGGTGGCATTTTTGGATGATGGTGGTATTGGTTGATCTCCACTACTGACACAGAAGAAGTAGAAGCTTCATACTGCTTATTTCACCTCTCATTCAAGGATCACATAACTTTTCTATTACTTACCCTGCTCTAACACACACACACACACACACACACACACACACACACACACCACAAATCCTTTTCCAGGTGCCCTCAACTTTACCTTTTCCCCATCACTGACAATTTTTTCCCAGCTGGTTCAATCACTAGGCTAGTAATCACTGCCAAAATTCACAAGCAGAAAATTGCTTGGAGTCTAAATTCTGTCCTTGCAAGGTGAATGCAAGCATCTGTGGTTACAAGTGATGACCAACTTTGGAATGTTAAAATGGATGCATGGTTACCGGATATACTCAGACAGTTCATCTGTGGGACTATGACCATCCGACTACTCTTAATAGGTGGAATCAATCCATGTTGCTAGTGAAAAGCTGCTCTCTCCCCTTGATGAAGAAGAATGCTTACCAAAGAAGAAAAGTGTAGTAACTCAGAAATAGCAATGAGATTTTTAAGCTAACTCAGGTGTTCCCATAGAGGCACACACATACATACACACACACACAAACACCACACACCTTACACATCTTTGTCAATATCAGCTATTACAAACAAAACTGAAACGTGTAACTCCACAAGGTAAAAACTTATGAACAGGAAAACAAAAATCTATAGTCCCATAATACGTAAATGAATGAATAAACTAATGAAAAGCACAACCCCAAACAAATATTTGGACTCTATTTGGAGCAGAGTGAGACCCACAATATTATACGTTTTTCACATGCAGATAGTTTTGTAAATGTTATCCTGAACTTAGTCTACAAAATAACCAAAAACCAAAAACCAAACAAACAAGCAAACAAAAAAAACAAAAAACTCCACTCCTCTACTCATTAATCATCAGACAAAACTCAGCTTTCCTAAATTCTCTGAAAAATATTTGTTGTGACTCCAAAATAAATATTTTTATAATATAGTAACATTTTTTTTCCAAAATGAATCAACAATTGAGGACCACAGAACCACTCAGTTGAGTCGACCTCATGATAAGGCAGCAGACAAGCGGAGGTGGAGACACAACTGGTGTGTGACTCTGACATGTCACTGTAAGCACTGTGAACAGTGAAATGCAGGAATATCAAACCGGGTTGGACTCTCACAATCTATACAGGAAGGAATGCAGAGGAACCTTTATATGTGGCTTCAAATGTCTTTCCTAATAATCCACAAAGGTTACATCTCCTCCTACTTGACAGAGAACTCCTCCCCGTTTTCTCCACTATATTTGGTCCTTTATTCATTCTCTCTGAGCTAAGGTCCTAGTTCAATACTTTGAAAACTGACAATTGGCCTATTAGAAAAGTTATCAATTATCCTCTACTCTTAATGACTCACATTGTCTAGGCTGTCATAACACTTGTAAGAAAATATTTTCCTTAAATATAACGATATTCTATAATGTCCTTCATCGAATATGCTTTTTAAAAATATCAATAGTATCTTCATTGATGAGTAACAAAACATGATACTGAGGTATGACAGCAACTCACAGTTGCTCCTGAGGTTGGCTCAAGAGGACTTTTGGGGGTGGACCAGAACATGGGCCTGACAGGGGGGCTGCACAGGGGTCCTGCCCCTTGGGTCTGCCCATTTCAGGGAGCATCTGTTGCAGTGTTTAGGATCATTTTAGAACTTGTGGGAAGCAAATATTTGCTGAGAAACTAGTTGTTTGGGGGTTATTACAAAGTAACTGGACCA